GTTCTTATCCCTTCAACTTTGTCTTTATCAATGTATGCTCTTTTTCACTTTAACATTTCTTATTCAAAGACCCCTTCACTGCCACAGACCACTGTCCCGACCGTCTCTCAGCCGAATGCAACCCAGCCGACCACTACTCCGACCGACCCTCAACCAACCGCAACGCAGCCGACCACTACTCTAGCTTCTCCTCAGCCAACCGCAGCCCAGCCGACCACTACTCCGACCGACCCTCAGCCGACCGCAACGCAGCCAACCACTACTCCAGCTTCTCCTCAACCAAGCAGCCCCGACTGCTGTTCAGTCGACTGTTGCTCCAGCCGACATACCTATTGAACAACGGACCATTCAACTGGTCGGTCCGCCGGAAAACTTCCCGACCACCGGGCGACAGACCACTACACTACCGACCTCTCTGCCGGTTGAGGTAAATTAGTTCCTAATACCTCTAAGAAAATACTTATTCAATTTCACCACTACTTTCAATTTTCCTTTCTATAGGTCAACCCAAGTCCTTCGTCGGTTGCTCCTCAACCGACCCCCATTGTTGCAGAGGAGGAACCGTTGATGATCCACCGGCCTGAGGAACTGACGGGGAGGCAAACTTCTCTTCCATTTTTGCCTCCACCTGCTCTTCAACCGCCACAGGTAACTACAAAATTCTTTTCCACATTTTCACATGACTATTTTCTATAAGTCTCTAACTCGTTTATTATTACTCAACTAGGAACCTGAAGTGGCCACGGTAGTGCCCGACCAAGTCGCTGCGCTGCCCGACTAGGTCGCTGCGCCGCCTTTGTAGCCGGTCGCCTAGCCCGTCGGAGAGCAACCTCTTGCAGCTCCACAACCAGTCGAACCCACCACCTCATGAGGTTGAGGAGATCTCTTCCTCGAGGTCGGGCGAAACTTCAGTGAACCAAAACCTAGGAGATGAGGTTAGTACACCTTTGACCTTTTACCCTCCATATTCTTCCCATGTTTTCCCTCTTAAATGAAACTTTTCTTTCAAGGTTTGGCTCTGATCGTGGCCGACTCATCTGCCAGTACCCCTTTTACCTTTTACCCTCCGCATTCTTCCTATATTTTCCCTCTTAAATGGAACTTCTCTTTCAAGATTTGGCACTGATCGTGGCCGGTCGTCTGCCAGCGGCAAACGAGTCAGCCATCGGCCTAGGGGCCCGCCAAGGTCCCCTCTTGGCGTTTCGGATACTGGCTCATTCTGAGGCAACAACTGCATTCGACCAGGTAATTTTCTCTCATGTGTCTGGTGTTTTGAAAAATTCATTTATGTTCCTCTATACCTTAACACCTTTTCATTTCAGGCTACCCGAGAGATGAGCGTACTAGCCCAGAAGACGGAGGAACTTAGGCACCTTCAACAACAGTTGAAGTCCCTGGATGGCAGCATCCAGGAAAGTGGTCGCCTGGTGGAGGAACATCGCCGAATGCAGACGAGTCTCTACAATCAACTCCAGGCAAGCATACGAATGTGACTCGTCAGAGGACACCAGGAGGCCTATCAGCATCATTGGACAACCCGGTGAGAGCTGAAATGGGCCGACCTCCAAGCTGCCCTTCGAGCCCTCCTTTCTCCGTAGCTTTGTATATATATATACATAGTCTTGAGACTTATTCTATGTAATCTATTTTTTAGAACATAGATCCGTGATTTTTGGACCTTAACTAAGTCAGCGATTTGAACACCACAACATGCATATATAATTCATATTTCTCCACTACGAACATCACCAATACCCACAAACTTGCACTTACTCCCCATGAATTCTCCTCGCATTCGTGTCCGTGCCACCAATTGGGAAGGTTCTTTGCAACCATTGTTTGTGGGTAGACACCTCACATCCCATCATGCTGAAGACCTGATACAGGTGCTCAAGCAGCTTGACTTTAAATTTAAGTTTTTTGGCAAAGGTAGGAAAATCATACATCATACGATTCGCCTAATGGAGCGTGTGTCCACCAGCTACGAACCCCTAACTAATATTCTTACTCGCATATCTGACCTTGATCATCATATGGATATGATAAACCATCATATCATGGCCATTCTCCCTGACCTTAGCTAGAACAATATTTTCTGCCAGCAAAGATCAACACTCTCCAGATATGAAAGTCAATCTTTACAAGATATGAAAGCTCGCACCGAACAAGACCTTTAAGAAATACATGACCAATGGGATCGTTATTGTCCCGACCTAGAAGATCTTCTAGACGAGGAACCTAAAATGATTTCGAAGAATTGGGATGAAGTTTCTGAACCAGAAGACGATCATATTTGTGTCACCCTTTCGGATGATGAATAAAAACACCTCCCTGTGGGTTCGAAGCCTTAAAGGGTTCTTAGATTTCTTGTAATAAAAACTAATGAAAATGTTCTGAAAAGGCAGGAAAATACCTTTTCAGATACTTGGCACTAATATTCTCATGTACCAATTTCCCTTCCTGATTCACAATAATAAAATCTCTGTTTCCAATTACTTTGTGAATAATGAAAGGACCTTCCCAATTGGGAGACCATTTGCCTAACTGATCCACTTTCTTATATGTAGGCAGAATTATTTTCCACACCAAATCTCCTTCTGAAAAAACTTTAGGGGATATTCATTTTCCATAATACTTAGCTCTGATCTCACTTTGTCTAACCACCCGATCTAAAGCATTCAGTCGTTCGGTGTCCATTTCCTCCAACCGTTGCCACATCCCTTGTACATATGCTTCATCATTATTCACCGTTGTATTAATTACTCTGGGAGAAAAGACAACAGACTCTGCAGGAAGTACACCATCTTGCCCGAACGTGAGCTGGTAGGGAAAAAACCAAGTAAAAGTATTCCTACTATTTCTGTGGGCCCACAATGCCTGAGGCAACAATGTATGCCATTTCTTTGGATTTCCCTCCACCATTTTTCGGATGATGCCAATGATGATTTTATTTGCTGCTTTGGCCAATCCATTAGCTTGTGGGTAGTAAGCGAAGAATGATGCAATTTGATGTTGAACTCGGCCAAAAACTCGATAAACTTTTCCCCGGTAAACATCAAATCTTGATCGGTCGTAAGAGTGTGAGGGATCCGAAACCGGTAAATAATGTGATTAAGTACGAATTCAATCACTTATTTCTATGTCGCGTTCTTCAAATGGACTGCCTCTACCCATTTGGTGAAATAATCAGTTGCTACCAAAATAAACGAATGTTGCTTCGATGAAGCCGGATGAATTTTCCCTATTACATCCAATGCCCAGGCTTTGAATGGCCACGGTTTGATCATCGCCTGGAGCTCCACTGCTGGAGATAATTTAACGGGCCATGCCTCTGACACTCCTGACATCCTTTAGCAAATTTGATACAATCATCAAATATTTTTGACCAATAGAACCCCAGACACTGAATAGCCCATCGCATGTTCAATCATGCTCGGTGTGCTCCACAGATTCCACCATGAACTTCCTCCATCACTTTGACAGATTCCTCTGGCCCCAGACACCTTAATAATACTCCTTCAAAGGTTCTCTTATACAGAACCCCTTCAATAAGTTGAAAACGTAATACTTTCAATCGAATACCCACATGAGATGCAGAATTTGGTGCTTCCAAATAGACCATAATTTCCGTTCTCCAATCAATAATAGTATCAATGTTGCCAACAAATATTTGCTGACACGCATTGTGAGCTAAATTATCTGCTTGTCGATTCTCTATTCTCGGTACATGCTCAATAACCACCTCTGCAATTCTATATAACAGGCGATATACCGAATCTCGATATTGACGTAACTGAGGATAATTACAAGCGTACCGTCTTAACACTTGATTAATGACCAATTGAGAATCTCCACAAATAATAACTACCTGTGCCCCCTTTTTCACAAGTGTCTCCAAGCCTAAGATTAATGCTTCATATTCTGCAGAGTTATGAGTCATCTCTTCAATTTGAAGCTGCAGGTTGATCTTCTGGGCTCCTGGTCCTTCTAATATAACTCATGCTCCTGACCTTCCTTTAGAATGAGAACCATCAAAAAACATTTTCCAAGGACTAGTACCTATATAATGTACCATCTTGTTTTATGTTGGTTCGCTATTCGTAAATTCAGCTAATAAATTAGCCACTACTTGCTCTTTCACTGCCTTGATAGGTCGATGTCACAGTGCAAAGGGAGCCAATCTTATCACCCATTTCGTTAATCTTCCCTGCATGGTTGGTCTGTACAAAATTAATCTGATTAGATCCACTTTGGAAACCACCTCAGTTTCTCTTGGCAAAATATAGTGCTCCAATCGAGTACATGCGAAGACTAAAGAGAAACACATTTTTTCGGGGATGGTATAATTCAGCTCCGGCCCTGCTAGAGTTTTGCTTAAGTAGTAAATAGCCCTTTCTTTACCGTCTTCCCATTCTTGCGCCAGCAAACTACTTACCACATCAAAACTGTTTGCCACATACAGTCTAAGAGGTCGGTCTCCTTTTGGAGGAACCAACACGGGTGGTTTTGTTAATGCTTGCTTAATTTCTTCTAATGCCATCTGCTGCTCCGGACCCCAAGAAAAATCAGTTGCTTTATTCTTTAGCAACCTTGTGATGGGTTTTAACTTTCCCGCGGCATTTGATATGAACCTTCTCAGGTAATTTACTTTACCCAACAAACTTTGCACTTCTTTGACCGACCGAGGGGGGCGCATTGTTAAAAAAACTTTAGTTTTGTCTACATCAACCTCTATCCTCCTTTCATGCACTAAAAAAACCCAGAAAATTTCCTGCCAAAACTCCAAAGTCGCATTTCGTTAGGTTCATCTTAAGGTTGTATTGCTTCATCTATAGGAAAGCATTTCTCAGGTCGACTAGATGTGTATCAAAGTCAGCAGACTTAATGATCACATCATCAATGTATACCTCCATTGACTGCCCAATCAAATCGTGAAAGATAGTATTCATTGCCTGTTGGTAGGTTGCTCCAGCATTCTTTAACCCGAACGGCATAACTGTTCATTCGTAGATCCCCAAGGCCTCTGGGCACCTGAATGCGGTTTTTGGTATATCTTCTTCTGCCAATGAGATCTGATTATACCCTGCATAACCGTCCATCAAGCTCAAAATTTGGTGCCCCGCCGCTGAATCGATCAACATATCAGCTATGGGCATTAGATACTCATCTTTGGGGGTAGCCAGATTAAGATCTCTGAAGTCAATGCAAATCCGAATCTTTCCATTCTTCTTGGTTTACCGAGACAATATTGGCTAACCATTCTGCATACCGAAAGGGTCGATTGAATCCTACTTTCAACAATTTCTCAATTTCTTCTTTGATTTGTGGAAGTAGCTCTAGACTAATCCTTCTTGGTGGTTGCTTATGCGGCTTTAATCCCTTTTTAATAGGCAACCTATGTTCTATTAAATCACGTGACGGGCATTTCGGAATAATCTCATGCCAAACACTTCATATGGTCCCGAATTACCGTTACCATTTGCTCCTGCTGGTTTTTAGACAACAAACCACTAACCTTGACCATCTTGGGTATCTGTTCGGTTCCTATATTGTATTCAATGAGCGGATCCTGAGTTGACAAGGAAGGTTCTGTTTTCTCCAAAAGGTCAGGCCAGCGAAAGCTTTCTCTTTTATCAACATTATTGCTGGAACCTTCCTCGCCATGCAACCTAATCATTAATTGGTTTAAATAAAACTGCCTAATCAGCAAGTCACATTCACCTATCTTTTCCATAATTAAACTTTAAAAAATTTAATGTTTTTAGCTAACAACAGAGCCACAAAAGAGAAAAATGTTTCTAATGAAACACATACCCCTGCGCAGTGAGCTTACAGCTCTTCCGGGGATACTCATCTACCACAGCTGTCTGTGAGATCGGAGGTACATATTCAGAGTAAAGTATGGATTCTTCCACAATCTCTGTGGAGCCGAACGGATTAGTGCTGACATCCATTCTGAACACTTGATCTCCTTCCCAGAACATGATATGTTGGTGAAGAGAAGAGGGCACGCATTTGGAGGCGTGAATCCAATCTCGCCCCAATAGGACTGAGTAAATGGTGTTAGCATCCACCACAAAGAACACGGTTGAGATCACCTTCGGTCCTACCTTAATAGGGGCCACCATCATCCCTTCTGGTTTCGTTGGCTGCCCTGTGAAACTCGTCATCTCGATATCCACTGGAGACAGATCACCAACTCCTTTCCCCAATTTCTTCAAGGTTTTGAGAGGCATAACCTTAAAGACAGCTCTATTGTCAATGAAAACATTGTTAATCGGCTTACCACAGATGTGAGCGTTAACATATAATGGTTTCAAGTGCGAGATCGGTCCTTTTGGTATAGGTGGGGGACTGCAGTGCATATGTCCGGGACTGCCAGTCATCGCCGCCCATTCTAGTTCCTCGTCCTTCAGACTTGCTCAGATAGGTTCATCTTCTTCCTCAAACCACCGCATACCAGTCATCCCGACTTTGAACATGGTCTTGTCGGCCTTTACTATATTACTACGAAAAGTTCTTGTCTTCTCTGGAGCAAACGATCCAAAGATTATCTTAGAGACCTCCCCTTCGGCAACTCCTATCTCGGGATCAATGTTGATCCGTCTGCAAAATTGACAATGGAAACACCTGGCCTTCTTGACGGGCCTCTCGATCTCCCGATGCTCCTGTAATTGGTCTCTTGGGTTTTTTCTTTCGGGCGGCGCATCTATTTTCTTCTGTCCTTTGTCTGCTCGCCTCCCATGCCGAGCTGTATACCTGCTTTTGGCATTACGGATTTGTGTACGATTCATACCTGGAAACCGCGGATCTATATCTATGGGTAAAAGCTTTCTATTCTGACTCCATTTGTCATGGACTGGTTGTGGCTTGTATGTTGGTCGATCTCGAACTACCACTTTATCTCTCAATTCCACCTCGAATGAGCCATCCTCTTGGTCCCACTTCTCTGCGACCCTATTTTAGCAGGTCTTGAACTTATCATTCTGATCATGCTCTCGCTCTTTTGGCTTACGCTCCTTCCGTCTTGTGTCTCTTTCATCATCTTTTTGTGTGTTTTATGAAGAACGCACAGAGATTACTGTAGTAGTTACTTTCGGGAAGGGCTGCTGCTCTACTCCCATCGTCGCATATTTAAACCGTCCAGCTTTGATGGCTCTCTGAATTTCCTTCCGGAAGTGCGTACACTGGTTAGTGTAATGCGTAAAGGAGTTATGCCACTTGTAGTATGACCTTTCCTTTATTTCTTCCTTGTTCGCCAACCGCTGTCCTTTTGGGATGCGATTTTGCCCATCCGCTAGCAGAATATCGAAGATCTCATCTTGCTTTGGATGCATCAAACGTCGGTTTTTCCCGCTCTTCTGCCCCTGGGAGAGGTTTCAGTTTGGAACATACATAAGGCTTGCAATTTACAATCTCAGCCGTCTTTTCTTCAACGCCTTTCCCTTGTTCTTCATCTGGTGCATACATCTCTGTATCCAAACTGGCCATCTGCTGGACCTTGTTCCGCCGGATGTTGTGATCCTTCTCTCTGAAAAGGGATTCTAGTCTCCCTGCGTTAGACGCTAAACTGGCCAAATCTCCAACATCATGGACTGTCAAAGCCTCTCGCAGCCGCGTATGCATATTCCTAACCACCAAATTGGTCATTTTGCTCTCCTCAATCAATGTTGGGCAACGTCCTTTCATCAGTCGTATCCGCTCTATAAACTGGTAGGCGGTTTCCTCCGGCATTTGCCTAACCTCCAAAAGGTCGGTAAGTGAGACTGTCAAAAGAGGATTAAAAAATCTTGCATGAAAAGCCACTTCCAAACCGTCCCAAGTTTGCAACTGCCCCGGCGGAAGATTAGCAAATCAGGAAAAGGTTGTTCTTGTGAGAGACAACCCGAACAACTGCAATTTGTGAAACAGATTGTTGCCCACTTCCCCTAGTTGAGCTGTGAAACGTTCCACATGCTCATTGGTCGATGCTCCGTCTTCTCCCAAGAAGGAGTGGAAATCAGGTGGCCTATAATTCTTCGAGAGCGGATGCTCATTGATGATTCTTTCTGAAAATGGCCTCTGATAAGCCGGCATGTTCACCGTTTGAGGATTCATTCCGAAATGCACCCGCAGAACTTGAGCGATGTCTTTCGGATCTACTTTGGGTAGAATGGGGTCGAAAATAGGAATAGGATTGTGAGCCTGTCCTTCCGTTCTCTCGTCTCTGGGGAAGGTCGGCTCAGCCCTGATACCTAGTGGAACATTATTTGGGTATGTCAGAGGGGTCTTTCCTCTATCGACCCTAGTAGCAGCACTTGGAAGGGTGTTGTCTACATATGAAGGCCTGCAAAATTTGTTTGAAGTCCGGATGGTGACATCCCTGAGGGTGATGGGTTGGGTTGAATAGCAACCCTTGATAGAACTTGATATAACATGTTCTGCATGAAGTTTTGTTGCTCACGCAACATGTTTTGCAAAGCCAAAGTTTGCTGATTGTTCAAATGTTGAACAAAAGACACCCAATCGGCAGGTGTTTGGGGTGCTTCCCCTGCATTCGGCATAGCGGGTGGTAAAATTGTTTCTCCGACCGGTGTCGAAGAGACTTGGGGCTGTAAGCCTGCCATATGGATCCTTCCGATGATTCGGCCGGATCTCAGTCGTATGAAATATTCTCTTGACGTAGGATCAGCAATCTTGTCTTTCTCCCACTATGGTCACTAAATTGTTGTTGCCGATTTTCTAGCAACAAAAATTAACATCCGAAAAAAGAAATTATCTTCAAATTTGATTAAAAAGATGTCTGAAATTGAGAATCTCTAGACACTGTACGATACAAAAGAAAATTGAAAAGAACACTAAAGACTAGAAAAGTAAAAGTGTGATCCCCAAAAGAAATTCACTAAATTTGATGTCGATTAAAGATGCCTTTTTCGGGTCGTGAAAATGCCTATTTAAAAACCCATGTCAACCGCCCCAATGTCATTATCAGGTTGTGCCTCCACATCCGCTCACCCGTTGTAACTTCTTCCAGCCGCTCTAAAACTGCTATTCAACCGCCCCATTCAACCAACCGACCTAAACATCCACCGCCTCGTCTTCCCCCGCCCGACTTCCACTTGTCCGACTTCCGTATCGACTGGCCTAAACACCACCATCTTATCTTCCTTCGCCCGATTTCCCTTTGTCCGACCTCCACACCAATGACCTAAAACGCCTATTGTCTCCTTTACCTCTGTCCGACCTCCCCTTATCCGACCTCCGTATCAACCGAGCACCTAGTTGAAGGTCCTCCCGGAAAAGCCCATTTCTTAGTAACACCTTGATTGTTGGGCCTACACCCAACCCATTTAAAATCTTAATACAATTGACAGGCCCATCGAGTCATACACCAGTCCATAACCCAATTTACAAGCCTCGAAAACCCCACATTGGTTTTCCTCGCTCAATATATATTATTATATATTTAAATTTTTCTATATATTCAAAATTCGGGCTAGATGATTTTTCAATTGGGTCATGTTAGCCGGGCCCAAAATAATTTCGGACCTGATTTTTTAACCTAATTTTGAATTTTTGCCACTTCTAAAATATACATCTGATTTGTCATTTTGCACGAGGCTATGTTTGTTTGGAAGTCACTACAATATGATCAAATCTGATCCTATATTAATTTTTAGGGCAAACTGATTTTTTTTTTAATTCGTAACTGGATTTCTTTACCATTTTAGTTTCGTAACTGGAGACTGTCTTAAAATAGTCTCGTAAGTGAACTTTTTTTTCTCAATTTAGTCATCAATGTCTTTATGGCACCTGCGTATCATGCTGACGGACACGTGTCGGTCAGGTCAGCGCTATGTGGCTGACATGTGTCCACCACGTGGATTATTTTCATTTTTTTATTTTTTAAATATAAAAAAATAAAAAATTACAAATATAAAAACAAAATTAAAATTAGAATTAGAATTAAATAAAATAAAAAATAAAAATTATTCATATGTCCTTCAAGTCAGTGTCACGTGATCTTTAATAATTTGTATATTAGTATTTTTTTTAATTATATATCTTTATATTTTTTTTAATAGAAAAATATAAATTATCCACGTAGCGGCCACATAGCGCTGACCTGACGGACATGTGGATAAATTTTATTTTATTTTTTATATTTTATATTTTTAATTTTTATATTTTTATATTTTATATTTTTTTATATATTTTATATATTTAATTTTATTATTGGGTAAACAACTTTTTTAATCTTGTATCTGACTCTTTTATTATTTTAGGACATTAAGTGGACACTGTCTGATAATAGTCCTATAAGTAAAAAAATTTCGCTAAAATGATCCTCCAGTGCCGGACGCGCCATGTTAGACCGTCGTTGCTGACATGTCATCGCCATGTAAATGCCACGTCAACGACACGTGAGTTTTTTTTTTTTTTTTTCTTTACAAAATGTATTGGTAAACTATTTTTTTTACTCTCATATATGAACCTCCTTTATCATTTTTAGGATTTTAAATGAATTATGTCTGAAAATAGTCTTGCAAATAAAAATGTTCGCTAAAATGATCATTCGATGTGGCATTTACATGGCGATGACATGTCAGCCGCGTCAACGCCACGTCAGCAACGGTGGGCCAGCGTAGCGAGTCCGGCACCGGAGGACTATTTTAGCGTAAAAATTTTACTTACGGGACTATTTTCAGACATGGTCCACTTAAAGTCCTAAAATGATAAAATGGAATAGATACGAGACTAAAAAATAGCTTACCCTTTATTTTACTTACGATACTATTTTTTAGTCTCGTATCTAACCCATTTTATCATTTTAGTTCCGTAACTAAAGGTTGTCTTAAAATAGTCTCGTAAGTGAAAATTTTTCTCAATTTAATCCTCAATGTCTATGTGGCATCTGCGTGGCAGCCTGGTAGACACGTGTCGGCCAGATCAGCGCCACGTGGCTAACACGTGTCCACCACGTTGATTTTTTTTTTATTTTTATAATTTTAATTTTTAAAATTATAAAAATAAAAATAAATATAAATATAAAATATAAAATATAAAAATTTTAAAATTAAAAATTAAAAATTAAAAATTAAAAATAAATAAAATATAGTAAAAAATAAAATTATCCATATGTCCGTCAAAGTCAGCACTATGTGACTTAGCTTGTAATAATTTATATATTAGTATTTTTTTAATTATATTTTATATATATATTTTTTTATTTTTAATATAAAAAATATAAATTATCCACGTAGCGGCCATGTGGCGCTGATCTAACGGACATGTGCATAATTTTATTTTTCAATTTTTTTATATTTTTAAATTTTTAAATTTTTATTTTTTATATATTTTATATATATTATTTTATTTTTTTTTATAAAAAAATAAAAATTATCCA